GGAATTCGCCCTGGATCCGTCAATGGTTGCGCCCGGTGTTTGTGACTCCAGTAATATCAGTGAATATCCAGTCCTGTGCGTTGATTATTTCGGATGATCTTTTGCGATTGTTTTATTATTTTAGGATGGCGATGGCGTATTGCTGGCTTATCAGATAGCATTTGATTTGTATGAAAATGCGTCGCAACAGTTTATCAATAAAATTGCGCAATCGCTGATGGGAAGTAATTATGTTCGAGCTGCTATTGATGCGCCAACAACAAGCGGAGTAGACACATCCACTGCGGTCGCAGCAGCAGCAGCAGGAGCAGCAACAGCACCGGAAACAACGGGACCGGTACCAATGGAAACGGATGAAGTGAAAACGTATGTTGCCTTTGAGTTCAATTTTCATCCCGCAAGGAGGTAATGATCCAGAAGTTAAAAGTATCAGAAACTTACCCAAATGGGTATTTTTGTCCTGAGGGTAAGGAGGAGAGGAGATAAAATTGTAGGTGTCGGTATTCAGTATCGAAAAGTTTTCATTTTTTATGTGTTTTTTTGTATCTTTGCAGTGCAGAAAACGCATATTGACGAGGCTCCAATCCGCAAAATGGGCGCTTTTACCCGCGTGGTATCCACGTAGGGGTCCACCAAAGTTTTTAGCAAGGAAGCTGCTGACTCGGGAATCAGAAAAACTAGAAAACTGAGATTTTGACGATTTGTTCCCCATCCATGTAGGTATTAATGAACTCAAGCCCAGCCCCCGTTTTTGCGTGGTTCCCAAGTACGGGCCCGTGAAAGTTTTTTTTTCGGGTAAATCGCTAACTCAAGGATCTGAGAAGCTAGAAGACTGGAATTTTGAGGGAATGTCCCCGTCCACGTAGGTATTAATGAGTCCAAACCCAGCTCCGGATGTGCATGATTCCTAAGTACGGGCCCGTGAATTTTTTTACGGGTGAGTTGCTAACTCAGGAACCAGGAAATCTGGAAAACTAAAGTTTTAAAGGGATGTTTCCTGACAGTCCTGGTGGCCAGTTTTAATTCGTTTAGCTAGAAGCATCTGCAGAAAAAACCGTGCCGTTAGCGTCAGAAACCTGCGAGGAACTATACAAAAAACGCATCTTCGCGCTGGCAGTCGGTACGCTGGCCATTTAACTTTTTTCCTAGTAATGAAGATATTAGTTTTCGCTTTCTTATTTTCCCCGTCTTACATTTTCTGTTTTCCTGATTTTCGTACTCTCACCGTTTTACTGTATCCCTGCGATACGATACGGTACATTTATTCATCAAAAAAGGCATGAATTCTTGTCATACGCCTAGTTTGACTAAAAAAAAAATAACCGATCATAATGCGGAATTTTTCTTGTTTTCGAAATATTTTTTCCTCACTCCTGTTTTTTGATTATTTCTGTTTTTTACCATTTTCGAAATCTCTTTACGAAATGTGACATTCGAAAGTCCTTTTTTTTTAATAACTTCCGAAATTTCAGCACACCTGCTGAAACTGCTAAAGTTCCTACGCCGCTAAAATCAGAATCCACTGAAACGGCTGTTGCGGCTGTGCCCGGAGATTCAGAAGAGCAAAAAAGTGAAGAGTATGTGAAAGAAATTACATCCTCGTCCAGTTCAACAGAAGACAATGGGTAAGGCAATTTATTATCGAAATTATAGATCAGTAGGACTGTACTCAGTCGTCATTTGTAAGGTGATATTTTACGATGCAAACTGTCTTTCATCCTTTTGAAGTAAGTAGTTAGGTGACATTTTACGATCCAATCTGAAACCGGATGTAAGAGGAGTTGCTGTGTTTCAGTAAAAAGTAAATTAGATGGTGGTGAATGGTTGCTAAATTGTGTTGAACCTGATAGTGATGTTGACTGATGAATAATGAATGGTACTGCAGGAAGAAGACTGGAGCGGATACTGAGGGAGCACAAGAATCTGGTGAGTCTAAAAAGAGTGAAGTCGTGAAATCATCTGATATAACAACAGCTGCGGCAGTCAGAACCACACAAACAGCTTCGACGACCGATAATGCTCAGGGATCGGCTAGTGCAGAATCAAAAATCAAGGTTTTTTTTTTGAATCATTTATAAATTTTACAGTTGTTGCTTGGCGATCTTCAAGATTAGCAACAGGCTGACCATCAGGCGATGCAGCATTGGTCAAAGTACCAGGAAAAGCTGCCAGTTGCATAGACTGC